ATATTTTTTAATTCTTCAGCATAAGCAAAGACAGTGGAACCTAGAGTGCTGCATGGATCTCAGGTTTGTAGCTGTTTTTCATAGTAACAGCTTAGTAGACCCAGCTCAGTCTTCATACACATACATTAAAATAAAACTTTAGGGGCTAGAGAGATGGCTCAGTGATTAAGAGCACTGGCCGCTCTTGCAAAGGACCTGGATTCAGTTCCCAGCACCCATATGACAGCTAACAACTGTTCTAACTCCAGTTCTAGGGGATCTGATGCCCTATTCTGACCCCTGCAGGTACTGCATGACACTGGTGCACATATATGCAGGCAATACACTCATACACATAAAATAAAAATAAGTAAAATATTAAAAAAAAAATTTAAACTTCAGGGGGCTGGAGAGATAGCTCAGTGGTTAAGAGCATTTGCTAGTTAAGGACCTGGGTGCATTCTCAGCACCCACATGTTGGTCACAGCCACCTGTAACTCTAGTTCCAGGGGATCTGGTGCCTTCTGACCTTGATGGGTCCTGCACATATGATACACATACATATATGGAAGCAAAACATACACATAAAATAAAAATACTTAGGGCTGGCTCAGCGGTTAAGAACTCTGAATGTTCTTGCCGAAGACCTGGGTTTAGATCCCAGCACCCACATGGCAGCTAACAACTGTCTGTAACTCCAGTTCCAGGGGATCCAACAGCCTCTTCTGACCTCTGTGGGCACTGTACGACACAAGTGCACTTACTTACATGCAGGCAATACATGCATACACATAAAAATAATAAATAAATTATTTAAATAAAAATACTTAAGCTTCATCTGCATATGCAAGTTTCTTGCATCTCTATAGGAAATACGGTTGGTAATTTTAAGAATGATTGTGCTTTTATTTATTTATTTTAATTTTACATGTTTGTGGAGTATAGTGTGACAGTTCAGTATACCTATAAACTCTGTAATGATCAAATCAGGACTGTTAACTTTTTCATTTCCTCATACTTAAAATAATTATGAATATGTAACCATCATACAACTTTGGGCTATTTATATTTTTTAAATTGTGATAGTTGAAAACATTTTAGCATATTTATTTCTACTCTTTTTATACATACATACAAATACACTGTATTTTTCTTTCTTTTTTTAATATTTTATTTATTTTTTTAATTTTATGTGTATGAATGTATTGCCTGCATGTTTGTGAGTGCATCTGTGTCATGCAATGCTGTGGAGGTCAGAAGAGGGCTTCAGATTCCCCTGGAACTGGAGTTAAGGACGGTTTGCAGCTGCCATGTGGTTGCTAGGAATCGAACCCGGGTCCTCTGCAAGAGCTGTCAGTGCTCTTAACCACTGAGCCATCTCTCCAGCCCCATTTTTTGACTTTTTGAGACAAGATCTCCCTGTAGCCCCAGCTGTCCTGGAACTTGCTATGTAGACCAGACTAGCCTCGAACTCACAGAGATCCACCTCCCTTTGCTGCCCAAGTGCTGGGATTAGAGGAGTGTGCTACCACGCCAGGCTTGTACACTGTATTTTTCTATATAATTTGGAAATTGCTTATAGACATTGTGGCCTAGCACATCTAAAATGCTTCAGTGAGCATAATAATCCCTTTCGCTGTGTGTGGTAGTGCATGCCTGTCATCCTTGCCCTTGGGGAGGTAGAAACAGGAAGATAGGGCATTCAAGATCATCCTTAACTGCACACAGAGAGTTCCAAGCTAGTCTACAGTACATGAGACCCTGTTTCAGAAAAATGAAAACAAAAATATCATTATAATACGGTAAGATCTTATAACACTAAGAAAATTTAACATTGATATAGTAGTATTACAAAATATACATTGCAATTCATATTTTACTAATTATGCCAGTTATTTTAGAGCTGTTTTTAAAAGGTAAATTTATTTTGTGAGGGTTTGGGAGTATGTACGTGCATGGGAATATTTGCCATGTCAGGAGTACGAAGGTCAGAAGACAACTTGTGGTGGTTGGTTCTCTTTATACCATGTGAGTTCTGGGCATTAAATTCAGGTTGTCAGGGTGGGTGGCAAGTGCCTTTAGCTATTGAGTCATCTTGCTGGCCCCTAGATGTGTCATTGTCATATCCTGTTCCATCATGTTTTGTCCATGTCGTGTGTTCCCCCCACCCCCTGCCTGTCCAGAATCTAATCAGGGCTTAGTCAAAGAATGTGATTATTAAGGTCATGGGGTAGTCTAGGGTAGTTTCTTTTTTGTCTTTTAATACGGACTTTTTTTTTTAGACAGGGTCTCCCTGTAGTTCCAGATGGCCTGGAACTTGCCAGATAGACCAGCTGGCCTTGATTTCACAGAGATATATACCTGCCTCTGCCTAGCAAGTGCTGGGATTAACCACACCATACCTAACTGACAGTGACATTTTAGAAGAGTCCCAGATGACTTTGTAGGATGTGCCTATTTGTGAATTTGTTTGCTTATTTCATCTTGATTAGATTCACAGAAGCTCTTTTGGCAAAACACTACATAGATTCTAGTATGTCTTCACTGCAGCACATTAAAGCTCCTTGTGACATCCATTTGTCCTGTGATTGGTGATGTTAAATGTTACCACTTGATTAAGACAGTACTGCTGTGTGGCTCCATTTGTAAAATATATTTTCCCTTTTATTGTGTGGGGCATTACTTTGAGTCCATGAGAAAATCTTTTCTCTCCATTCTTCCCGATAGTTTTTTTTTTTTTTTTTTCTGTCTTTTTGAGACAGGGTCTCCCTGTAGCCCCAGCTGGTCTAGAACTCACAGAGCTCCTAGAACTCTGTCTCTGCCTCCCAAGTGCTGGGATTAAAGGCATGTACCACCATGCCTAGCTAATATTTGAATTTTAATCATGTTTTTGCTATTTTTCTAGGATACTATATACCTTCTGGAAGGAATTTACAAAAATGGTCCTGAGTAAGTTATACTTTGTCTTTTCAGATAATTTGTTAAATAACAGTGAAGTTAAAATATACTTATTAATACTAAATTACAGAGAAGCTTACAGTGTAATCTTTCTCTTTTTTTCAGCCTGTCTGAAGATTCTGTCTCTGTCTTAGTACTTAGGTACCTTACAGAGGCTTTACCAGAAAACAGGTAACTTCTTGCTTTCTTTTAAGCATTATCCTTTAAAGGAAAACTTAAATTCCCCGAGTCATAAGCATTTAATGACATTTCTTTTCCAACTCTTCAGATTGAGTCGGCTACTTCATAAGCACAGGTTTACTGAAGCTGAGAGCTTTGCTATTCGGTTTGGACTAGATGTTGAGGTAAGCATTTGTTTATTCATTTGCTCTTGAGCAGACATTTCTTGGTGTGCTAGAGGCTGAGGACATACAGACAGGTAAAACTGCAGTACCCTCAGAAATGCCACGCAGTTTTGGGTCAAATTAGGAGTTCTTTATTTGCTGGCAGTCAGAGAGGGAGTTAACACCCCGGGGAACTCTAGACCCTGGGGGGAGGCAGTGTGGGGTTTATGAAGCTTATATCCACAATTACATCATTCTGGGGCAAAGCCAATAACTGTACTGACATAAGATCAGAGGCAGGTCACATAACAAAGAAGCTCTCAGTTAACAAAAAGTTTCTTAGAATTGCAGAAACAATGAGCTCCATGGAGATGCTGGGAAAGGATGTGCTACCTGGCCATTTATACATTTTCCAGTATTAGAGAAACAATGTACCTTTTGAATCTACAGGTACAACCTTCATGGCACTGGTTCTTCCTGGCTGACTGCAGTTAGAACAGGGGGCAGCTAGCTGGAAACACAGTGTAAAGCAGAAGTCAGCTACAGTAAAGTGGAATCAGCTTTGCCATTTCAGAACAGTGGAACTTAGCATTCTCAGGTGTGCAGCTGAGACGTGACTGAAGTAGAGCAGGGACACAAAGCACAATGGGGTAGAAAGATGTTATTGAAGAGTTAGTTTGTTTTGTTTTGCTTTCTGAGACAGGTTTTTCTCTGAGAGGGAGTGAGACTCTGACTCAGCAAACTAAACCAAACTGAAATAAGAATGCTAAAATAAAACCTGTTCTTGTAGCAGTTTTGGAATGTGCATTAATTACGTCATGCTCCTATAGAGCTCTAAGAGCTATCCCTGCTGCGCTAGCTGCAAAGGTGCATCTCCTGGTAGCCTTCTTCCCTTCTTCGTTATACCCATTTCTCCTTCCACTTGTAACCAGCATTCTTTACCTTTGTGAGCTCTGTCTGTTTAGATTGTGCATCTGTGTGAGATCACACATTGTCTTTCTGTACCTGGCTTATTTTATGTAGCACATTGGCTTTCAGGTTGATTCATGTTGTTGTCAGTGACAGAATTTCCTTTTTTTTTTTCAGGTTCAATAATATTCTGTTGTGTGTATACCACACTTTGTTTATCCAATATGAACAATTAATTAGGTTATATATCTTAGCTCATATGAAGCTCTTTGTACACTTCTTGATGGGTTTAATAAGGACACAATAAAATGGTTTCCATCCGTCTTAATAATCTGGAATACCTTTTAGATAGTTACCTTTTTAAGCCTTGTTTCTGAGCCATAGGAGGATTCACCTTCTTTTCATGATAGTTTGTCTCATGCAGTTTGCCGAGAATGTCGTCCTCAGATATTATATTTAAAGTCACTGGATGGCTAATGTTTGTGTTGCAGCTTGTTTACAAGGTTAAATCAAATGATATATTGGAGAAACTGGCTTTGATTTCTGAGAACACCAGTGAGCAAACCAAATGGCAGCAACTGGTAGAGGAAGCCAAGGAAAATCTACATAAAATCCAGGTGTGTTTTCCCAGTCATTAACTCAAATATTAAGGTTGATGTGCTGACCACCAGGTGGCTTTACTAGTCTGACATTCTTGCAATAGGATAATGAATTTGTGGTGAATTACTGCTTGAAGGCCCAGTGGATAACCTACAAGACCACCCAGGAAATGCTCAATTATGCCAAAACCAGGGTAAGTTGGTATGTTTTTCTTTTTTCTTTTGAATTTATTTTAGTCATTTATAATTCTACCACTTCAAATACATTTTGTTTTTCCTTTAGTTTTTTTTTTTTTTTTTTTTTGGTTTGGTTGTTTGTTTTTGGTCTTTTTGAGACAGGGTCTCCCTATAGCTTCAGCTGACCTGGAACTATGTAGACCATGCTGCCTCTGCCTCCCGAGTGCTGGGATTAAAGGCATTTGCCACCTCACCCGGCTGCCCTATTTTTTTATTTTTTAATTATTTTTATTTTATGTGTATGAGTGTATTGCCTGCATGTAGGTAAGTGCACCTGTGTCATGCAATGCCCGTGGAGGACCGAAGAGGCCGTCAGATCCTCTGGAACTGGAGTTACGGACAGTTGTTAGCTGCCATGTGAGTGCTGGGATTCAAACCCAGGTCTTCTGCAAGAACAACCAGTGTTCTTAACTGCTGAGCCATCTCTCCAGCCCCTGTCCAATTTTTTTTTAAACCACTATTTTCTTATAGCTTTACTGAGACAGTTCTTACAATTTTTTATTTATTTTTTTATGTGTATGAGTGTTATACCTGCGTGTATGTAAGTGCACCTGTGTTGTGAAATGCCTGTGGACACCAAAGGACATCAGATCCCCTGGGACTAGATTGTAAGCCACTAGACATGGGTGCTAGGAACTCCTGAATTCAGTTCTTCTGTAAGAACAGTACATGCTCTTAACTGCTGAACTATCTCTCCAGTTCCCAATGTGTCATTTCTTTGCCATTTTAGATTTAAATGCATTTTATTTTCAAAGATAATATTTTCTGTCAAGTCGTAGAAAGTCCCTCTTTTATGAAAAATCTAACATAGCAGATGTTCTTCTTGAGTTTCTTTTTTTTCATACTTGAATAATGTGTTTTGATCATATCTATCTCCTACTACCTTCCCTCCCACTTCCATCCTCTTCAGTATGTCCTCTCCTAACTTCATTTTTCACTTCTTTTTTTTTCTTATTGTTCATTTTTAGCTTTTGAAGAAGGAAGATAAAATTCTGCCTGCCTATTCTGATGGCTTGATGGAGGTAATGATACTGATTGATGGATTAATTTGGGAATGAATGTGTGTTGTTGTTTGTCCTTTCAAGTCAGATTGGTATTTTTTAAGGAATCATGAACTACCTTAGCTTCCTTGTCAACAAAATAAGACTGTTAACGGTACTGGCCTTGTGGTAATTTTGAAGTCAGAACAAAGAATTCCTAAAAACCATTTTTGTATAGTACTTGGTACCTGCTAAATACTCAAATAAATGCACCCTGTGCGATGATTATGATGTGAGCATATGTGCATTTAAATTCTCAGAATAAGGCCAGGGAGATGGCTCAGCAAGTAAGGATGCTTGTCAAGCTTGAAGACCTGAGTTCAGTTCCCATGACCCACATGGTGGAAGAAGAAAACCAACTCCTACATGTTGTCCTCTGATCTCTGTATGAGAGCCATGGCACTGGCCTGGACCTCCTCCTCACACACATATATAGTAAATAAATAAATGTAGGGGCTGGAGAGATGGCTCAGCGGTTAAGAACACTGACTGTTCTTGCAGAAGATCCAGGTTCGAATCCTAGCACCCACATGGCAGCTAACAACTGCCTATAACTCCAGTTCCAGGAGATCTGACAGCCTTCCTGTCCTCCTTGGGCATTGCACAACATGGGTGCACTTACCTATATGCAGGCAATACACGCATACACATAAAATAAAAACAATAAATAAAATATTTAAAAAAATAAATGTAAAGAAATTTAATTTTCAGAATAAATATTTGGTATGTCCAGCTAAGTTTTGCCTTAAGGACATTTATAATTCAGTGAAAAACTGATTTTTTCAGGGCACCTACAATTAATACGCATTTCCCTTTATAATAAAATATCATTGGAAATGCTTTCATTTTTGTATGTATGTTAAGTAAAGGCAGTTGTGGGTGGGAATTGAGCAGAAATGTAGGTTAGAGTAGAATGACCCTAAATTTTGGTGTTTAAATTTTTAAAAATTTCAATATCATCCCATAATAGTTAAATTATATGTTTATTTATTTATTCATTTGCTTGTGTGTGCATGTTTGCCTGGGTGCTCATGCCACGGTGTGTATGCGGAAGTCAAAGGACAGCATTGTAGAATCCTTTCTCTCCTTCCGCCTTTGTGTTCCCAGGATTGAAAGCACATTACCAGGCTTGCATGACAAGTGCCTTTACCTGCTAAACCATCTCACCAGCCCACACACAAAATTAAGATTATCAAATTATTTTATTCTTTAGGTGCTACGGGCTCATGCAAAGTTGACTACATTTTATGGAGCATTTGGATCAGAAAATTTCAGGTATGTATATACCATTATTAATTTTTAGTTTAAGAATATAGTATTCCTTCACATGAATTTATGTTCTAGGGAAAGTATTGCCAGTGTGTTCAAATGATGGAAATTATTATCTTTTTGGCCAAAGAGTTGGCTTAAGAACTTTGTCATATTTCTAGTATAAATTTTTATGCCTTGTATTTTCTAATGGATAACTACTTCATAGTTAATTTATCTTGATATATATTTAAGGTAAGTGTGTCTCATGTGTAAGTAATTACACATGATGTACATGCAAGTATATTTGGATTCAGTTTCTGGAAGTATAGTTGCTAGGACAAAATTTCTATGCATCTAAATTTATCCAGGTTGTTCTGAAAGGAGCAAGAGAGAGCCCATTTTCTTAATCCTTCACTACAACCATGTCCTAAATCTAATATGTAAAATGTATTACAAGAGCATTGCTTTGATTTTGATTGTTAATTTTGAGCTAGGTATTTAACAACTTTTTGTGGTTATTGAAGGTTTTTTTGTTTCTTTTGTTCTTACGGATTTGTTTTGAAATACGGTCTCATATAGATCAGACTGGTCTAAAACTTGCTCTGTATCTAAGGCTGGCCTTGAATTTCCCACTCTCTTGCCTTCCTCTCAAGTGCTGGGTTTGCAGGTCCTGGGTCACCATCATGCTATGTGATCCTTAAAAGGAATGTTTATATGAGTTGATTTGTTATAGGTATGAATATTCTATAAATTTTTAAAAAATTATTTATTTGTTTATTTATTTATTTATTTATTTATTTATTTATTTTGGTCTTTTTGAGACAGGATCTTCCTGTAGCCCCAGTTGGCCTGGAACTCACTATGTAGACCAGGCTGGCCTTGAACTCTCAGAGATCCACCAGCCTCTCCCTCCTGAGTGCTGGGATTAAAGGCGTGTACCACCACGCCTGGCTTTATTATTTTTATTTGATGTGTATGCATGTATTACCTGCATGTAGGTAAGTGCATCCATGTCTTGCAATGGCTTCGGAGGACAGAAGAGGCTGTCAGATCCCCTGGAACTGGAGTTTAGGACAGTTGTTAGCTGCCATGTGGGTGCTGGGATTCGAGCCCAGGTCTTCTGCAAGAATAGTCAGTGTTCTTAACCGCTGAGCTATCTTTCCAACACCTCTATAAATTTTTTAATGTACATATACATACACTGTACATATCTAATTTTTTCATTTAAAAGTTAAAAATAGCCAGGTGTGGTGGCGCCCACCTTTAATCCCAGCACTGGGGAGGCAGAGGCAGGTGGATCTCTGTGAGTTCGAGGCCAGCCTGGTCTACATAGTGAGTTCCAGGACAAAAAAAAAAAAAAGATGTATAATGATACCCACTTGGAAAGTGTATGTTTTTTAAGCTTACTAACATTTTTCTTTCCTTTGATTTTTCAGTGGTAGTTCTTGGATTGAATTCCTGAATAATGAAGATGATCTTAGAGATATTTTTTTCCAGCTAAAGGAAGGAAACCTTGTTTGTGCTCAGTATCTTTGGCTTAGATGTCGGGTAATACATTTTAGTTTCTTAATGCCTTTTTTGCTCCTATAATAGGTGGTTGTATATTAGAAACTATCAGGCTATCAGGTGTGACTGGGTGGTACAATGCTTCCAGACTAAGGTATGACTTATCCCAAGGAAAATTCCCTCTGATACTGTTAAGTCAGAGGAAATGCTATGCTGTAATAGAGCCTTATTATACCTTACCATTAAGAGTCCTTGTAGCTCCAAATCTTCCCTCATTAGACAACATTCATTAAGAGATTTATTAGGGGGTTTGATATGATAAGTGAAGAAGATGTTCATACTACAATTCAGATTTTGGTAAAGGACTATCCACTAAAATTGTTTATCTAAAACCTGTAAGACTATATGCGAATGGCACATGTCTGTAGTCCCTGCACTCTGGAGGCAGAGGCACGAAGACTGCTTAGCTCAGGAGTTTTGGGCCAGATTGGACAATATAGACCCCCACCTCATTCATAGGTAGGTAGGTAGATAGATAAATGGATAGGTGGATAGATAGATAGATAGATAGATAGATAGATAGATAGATACTCATCCAGATTTCCTTAATATTGACTGTTATTGACATACAACAATTAGATTCAAAAAGTATTGTGGTGTTATGTCATTAGTGGGCACATTGTGTTAGTATTTGTACTGTGACCTCCAGTTTTATTTTCCTTAGAATACCATCTCTTCTGGTTCCTGTTATATAATTTATTATTTGGTACTCATTGATATAATACTTCCTGAATTTGTGGACCCCTAATTAATCATTAAAATAGAGTAAATTATCTTTAGCATTCACTTCATTTAATCAGTAAGAGGTTCTTTGAAATGGATATAAAAATGTTTGAGACAAGGACTCACTATACAACCCTGGCTAGCCTTGAACTCACAGAGATCCAATTGACTCTGCCTCCCTAGTCCTGGGATTAAAGGTGTGGTTATCATGCATGTCAGATTTAGAATTTTTTAATTGTTTATTTAAGAAGGAACTAAGCATGCCAAGTAATGGGCTTCATGAAGGCAGTTTCATGCGTCTGAGTCATTATACTTTGTTCTTATGCATCCTTCTCTCACATGCCTTTGCCCTGAAACAGCTTTGGGATAAGGTAAGTCTTTGCCTTTTTAGAGGTTGTTAGTTTAAATTTGTCAGATAAGTCTTAACTTCTGATCTGTAATTTAGGCAAACTTTGAAAGAAGGTTTGATGTGAAAATGCTTGAGAACTTGCTCAACTCAATTTCTACACCAGTCTCTTTGCAAAGACTTTGTCTGTGGTTTAAAAATGACGTGATCCCATTTGTGAGAAGGGTTGTGCCTGAAGGACAGGTGAGTTTTTTCCTAGTATTTCTACTTTCTTCTAATTTTTTTTTTTTAAGTTATGTTTATGTGTTTATAGGTGGTATGTGCCCATGTGTGTAGGTGCCATCAGAGACCAGAGTCATTGGATCCCCTGGAGCTGGAGATACAGCAGTTCTGAACCACCAGATATGTGTTGGGAATTGAAGTCAGGTCCTCTGCAAGAGCAGTAGAGATCTCCAGGAATTCGCTATGTAGACCAGGCTGGCCTTGAACTCACATAGATCTGCCTGCTTCTGCCTCCTGAGTGCTGGGACTAAAGGTGTGAGCCACCACACCCAGCTCTGCCTCTGCCTCTTGAGTGCTGGCACTAAAGGCATGTACCACCACACCCAGCTTATTTCCACTTTTTTTTTTTTTTTTGGTCTTTTCAAGACAGGGTTTCCCTGTAGCCCCAGCTGTCCTGGAACTCACTATGTAGACCAGGCTGGCCTTGAGCTCACAGATCCGCCTGCCTCTGCCTCCCTAGTGCTGGGACTAGAGGCGTGGGCCACCATGCTTGGCTTTATTTCCACTTTTAAAGATTTAATTTAACTTAATTTTTTAGGAAGTCCAGTTCTTTAAAGTATTTCTTTTAAAATACATTAATGGAGCTTAATGGAGCTTATCGTGGTGGGGCAGACCTGGAATTTCAGCTCTTGGGAGGCTAAGACAGAAGGATCACTGACCTATAGGTCAAGCGTGGGCTATAAGTGTGACCCTGTCTCAAAAAACATTACAAGCTGGGCGTGGTGGTGCATGCCTCTAGTCCCAGCACTCGGGAGGCAGAGTCAGGTGCATCTCTGTGAGTTCAAGGCCAGCCTGGTCTACATAGTGAGTTCCAGGACAGCTGGGGCTACAGGGAGACCCTGTCTCAAAAAGACCAAAAAAAAAATTTACAAAATAAAACAAAGATGCTGGTGTGTGGATAGATTAGTGGTAGAGTACTTGACTGGCGTGTGTGGAGTCCTTGGTTCAACACTGTGACTAGTAAGTAAATAACTTCTAAAGAATGATTGGGGAAGTCTGTTGCTGTTATTATTCTAGTGATTACTGATAATTTTTCTTGAAAATTTTATATTTTCAATATTTTTATGTGTATGAGGATATTACCTGCATGTGTGTTAAGTGCACCCGTGTCATGCAGTGCCCGAGGAGGTCTGGACTGGTGTTACTGACCTTCGTTAGCGGCCATGGGGTGCTGGGAATCAAACCCAGGTCCTTTGCAAGAGCAGCCAGTGCTACTCTTAACTGCTGAGTCATCTTTTCAGCCCCGAGAATTTTACTTTTAAATGGTATATTTATTTCAGAACATTCTTGCAAAATGGTTGGAGCAAGCAGCCAGGAACCTAGAGTTAACTGATAAGGTAAGACTAGTATAATGAATATGAAAATAACATTTTACACCTTTATAGAAGCATCAAACTTTATTTTAAATGGTCTTTAATATTTTTTAAAGGCAAACTGGCCAGAGAATGGACTTCAACTGGCAGAGATATTTTTCACAGCAGAAAAAAAAGATGAGTTGGGATTTGCATCCTCTTGGCACTGGCTTTCCCTGGTATGATATGGAGAATGAATTTTTTAAAAAAATATTTTATTTATTATTTTTATTTTATGTGTATGTGTGTATTGCCTGCATGTAGGTAAGTGCACCCGTGCTGTGCAATGCCCTCGGAAGACAGAAGAGGCTGTTGGATCCCCTGGAACGAGTTACGGACAGTTGTTAGCTGCCATGTGGGTGCTGGGATTTGAACTCGGGTCTTCTGCAAGAACAGTCAGTGTTCTTAGCCACTGAGCCATCTCTCCAGCCCAGGAGAATGGATTTTTATGATGAAGTAGTCTATTCATGTTAAAAAGTTTCCCTATATGTAGAAAAAAGTATTTTGTTGTTATCTTCAAGTCCAGCAAAAGGAAAAATTGCTTTCTGTTACATCTATTACAACTTCAACTAATTTTTGAGACAGGGTCTCAAACTCTATAGTCCTTACTGACCTGGACCTTGCATTGTAGACCAGGTTGACCTGAAATTCAGAGAGATCCACATGCCTCTGCTACTTGAGTACTGGGATTAAAGGCATGTGCCTTCACACTGGCTTTCAACGTATTTTAATGCATGGCTTTTCTATATTAAACCAGCCAAATTAAAACATCAAATTTGAGACAGGGTCTCAAACTCTATAGTCCTTACTGACCTGGACCTTGCATTGTAGACCAGGTTGACCTGAAATTCAGAGAGATCCACATGCCTCTGCTACTTGAGTACTGGGATTAAAGGCATGTGCCTTCACACTGGCTTTCAACGTATTTTAATGCATGGCTTTTCTATATTAAACCAGCCAAATTAAAACATCAAAACATTCTAAGTGGTATAATTGAGGTTTTCTGCAATAACAGCATTTCACGATCCTTTAATAGAATAAGAATAATATATGAGAATTGGTTTTCAAAGTTGACACCAATCATATCTGCTTCTTTTATTTAAATCAGGAAATCATCCTTTGATCTGATTGCATTTCTTAGCTATTCTCACAGCCATTATGACTAAAATATTAGTGTTAAAATCAAATTTATGGTGCACAACCTTGATCCCAGCATTCAGGAGGCAGAGGTAGGCAGATCCATGTGAGATTGAGGTCAGCATGGTCTATGTAGAGAGAGAGAGAGAGAGAAAACCACACACACAAATCAAACTATAAAAAATACAGAATTTTGTAGCCGGGCATGGTGGCACACGCTTTTAATCCCAGCACTTGCGAGGCAGAGGCAGGCAGATCTTTGTGAGTTTGAGGCCAGCCTGGTCTACATAGTGAGTTCCAGGACAGCTGGTGCTACAGGGAGACCCTATCTCAAAAAGACAAAAAATAAATAAATAAATAAAAAATAGAACTTTGTGACAATCTGAAAAAATAGCAGTGGGCTGTGGGTGTAACTCAATGGTAGAGCACTTGCCTAACATGTGCGAGGTTATGGGTTGCAATCTAGCATCAGAAAACAAAAAAAGTAGTGCTACATGTAGAATTAAGATCAGCAGTGTTTTTCTTGAGGTAAACTAAATTTACTATTTGGCTAGTTGGCTTCTAAATTTCTTAACATTAACTTCTTTTCCCTTGAGGTTTCTAAAACTATAAAGCATGTATCATTCTAGGGAAAGCTATGTAATATTTTAAAAATGTCTGTTGGGAGTGCTAGAATTTGGTTTGTAAAAGAATATGTAAGACATAACAAAATCTCATTTCTGACGTATTAAGTACTTCAGTGCCAGAAAAATGTAACCTTTAAAATATGTATTATAATGACTAGTGTCGTAGTTCAGTTGGTTCAGTGCTTGCTTAGCAGACGCAGAGCCCTGACTTGGATCCATAGCACCACATAACCTGGTGTGTTTGGACACACCTGTAATCTCAGTACTTGGCAGGCAGAGGCAGGAGGATCAGAAATTCAAGATCATTTTTAGCTACATATCAGGTTCCAAACCAGTCTGGGTTACCTAAGACTCTTCCTTGTTTGTAAGTTTAGGAAGTGTTGTAGCTCTTGCATTATCTATCTAGACAGGGAACACTGCTGTGCTGGATAGCTTTAGCGTCAGCTTGATACACCTGGGTTGAGAGAGCCTCAAGTGCAGAATTTCCTCTACAGGACTGGCCTGTGGCTATGTCTGTGGGGCATCTTCTTCACTATTGAGTGATGTGGGAGGGCCCAGCCCACTGTGGGTGGTGCCACCCCTGGGCAGGTGGGCCTGTGTTGTATAAGAAAGCAGGCTGAGTAGGCCAAGGAGCCTGTCAGTAAGCAGCGTTCCTCTATGGCCTGTGTTAAGCTCCTGTCTCCAGATTCTTGCCCTGAGTTCCTACCTTGGGCTGCCTAATGAACTGTGACTTGGGAGATGTAAGACAAATAAACCCTTTCCTCCCCACGTTGGTAGTTGTCAGAGTGTTTTGTCAGAGCAATGGAGAAACAAGCTAGAACAACTGCAGACTAAGTGAAATTTGTCTACCCAAGTATATGTCACAGGAATTGTGCTTATGCTGCCAGTTGATCCCTTTTGTTCTGAAGAAGTAAAAAATTCTACATTCTGATTTTCTCTTATGTGCACAGTTGTGGTCGTTGCTTATTTCCTTTGAAATAATTTTGACTCTGTTTCCCTATTGCATTTTCATTTTATATTCCTAATGATGTTAATGCTTTTGCTTTAGAAGGATTATCAAAACACAGAGGAAGTACAGCAGTTACAGACACTGGTAAATAACCTGAAGGAGCTGCTCATGTTGCATAGGAAATACAACTGCAAATTGGCCCTCTCTGATTTTGAGAAGGTAAAATTCCAGCCCATGAGCATTGTTTTGTTTACTGTATCTGGTTCTGGCTAGACTCTACATTTATGCCAGCTTTCTTGTCTCTTATCCAGGAAAATACAACTAGCATAGTGTTCCGAATGTTTGACAGAGTCTTGGCCCCGGAGCTTATTCCCTCTGTCTTAGAGAAGTGCATAAGAGTTTACATGCGGGAACATAACTTGCAAGAGGAGGAACTTCTCTTGCTTTATATAGAGGTAACATTTTCTTTCTTTTTAACATTTATTTATTATAGATATGTGTGTGCACACTCATGCATGTGTCACATGGTCAGACGATAACGTGAGGAACTTAGCTCTCTCCTACAATTTGGATTCTGGGTGGTCAGGCTTAGAGGCAAGCACCTTTACGTGTTGAGCCATCTCACCAGCCCCTTTTTTTTCTTTAGATCCAGCCTTATTTTTGAAATCCCATGCAGTGTATCATTGTATTAGATGTTTCACTCTGTAAAGAATGTCATGCTTTACCATTGGTACTTATGCAACATTTTGAATTGGTTAAGAATATAGATTACTTCTGCTATTAACTTACTGAGAACCTCACAGCTATTGGAGGAGCTGAGGTGGGAAGATTTCTTAAGCCTACAAGTTCAAGACTAGCCTGGCTGCATAATGAGATCCCATCTGGCAAAGAAAATGAGAATAACAGAACTTTTTCCAAGGGACTACTGTGAGATAACAGGAGCCAGAAATCAAGATGTGTCAGCTTGGGGGAAGGAGGTCCGAGGAGTGAACCCAGGGTCTCATGAATGCTAAGCATGGTCTGTGCTAGCTACACTGTCAGGTTTTTTTTTTGTTTTTTTTTTTTTACTATCACCTTTTTTTTGTTGTTATTGTTGGGGCTGTTTTTTTGTTTTGTGGTTTTTTTTTTTGGTCTTTTTCTCGAACTCACAGAGATCCACCTACCTCTGCCTTGGGAGCACTGAGATTAAAGGCATGTACCACCATTCCTCGCTTGGCAAATTTTTATTTTTAAATTTCATTATTATTGTGTGGCTGTGTATTCTGATGTGGATGTGTGAGTGTGGGCATGCACATGCCACAGCACAGGTATGGTGGTCAGAGGACAACTTTGAGGAGTTGGTTCTCTCCATTGTGGGTCTGGGGATCTACGTCACATTACCTGCTGAGCCATATCATTGTCCCAATTTTTGGTGACTTTTGTAATATTTTTTTTTTTCACTGCTAGTGGAACCTAGTGCACACCTTAGGCCAGTTATCTACCAATGAGCTACACACTTGGATGCACTCATTTTTGACAACTTTTCGATATTCATGGTTAATCAAAGTTTAAGCTATAAGGAGTATTTATGTGTTTGAGTTTTCTTTTTTTGTTTCTACATTTTCATTTATTTTGGTATTTGAATGGGCACACATGTGCTTTGGCATTCTTATGGAGGTCAGAGAACAACTTGGGGGAGTTGATTCTCTACTATATGGGTCCCTGGGATAAAAGTCTGGTCAGCAGGTACTTTTACCTACCAAGCTATCTTGCTGGCCCCTGTTTACTGTATAGTGAGAATTTCTGATATTTGAAAAGCTTTTGTTTTTCCTTTCTTAGGATTTACTGAAGAGATGTAGTTCAAAGTCAACGTCACTTTTTGACACAGCATGGGAAGCAAAGGCCATGGCAGTGATAGGTTGTTTGTCTGACACAGATGTAAGTAAACACTGACTGGGGTTCCCTTTTGAACATTTGTTCTTTTTTCTTTTTTTAGTTTATTTGGTTTTGTGTATGTGTATATGTGTGTGTGTGTGTGTGTGTGTGTGTGTGTATCTATTACATGTCTGTCTAGCTGGTGCCTGGGAAGACCAGAAGAGGAAACTGAACCCCAGTCCTCTGTACTGTAGCCAGTGTTGTTAACCTTGAGCCATCTCTCCAGCCCCTGAAGTTGTTTTTTTGTGTGTAAAAATTGCAAAAAATGTATGCTTTTTCATCAAAAAATTGTATCAATCTACACTAGGTGGTTGATGTCTGAAGTGTCATTAATGTACATGAAAGGTCCATCTGAGGACTGGTCGTGATTTCTGTGTGATCTCTTTTTAGCTCATCTTTGATGCCGTACTTAAGATAATGTACAAGGCAGTGGTTCCCTGGAGTGCAGCTGTAGAACAGCTGGTGAAACAGCACTTAGAAATGGACCATCCCAAGTAAGATTCCAGAACACTGAATGTTTTTGTGCCCTGTATAATCTTCATATCTTGAGTTAATAATTACATTTTCCATTGGCTGTATCCCATAGTCAAAGTCAAAAGATAATCCATGTTAATAGCTATAAATTTCCTTTTAGAGTCAAGTTATTACAGGAAAGTTACAAACTAATGGAAATGAAAAAACTTCTGCGAGGCTATGGAATAAGAGAGGTGAATCTCTTAAACAAGGAAATAATGGTAAGTGCTGGCTGAACGTTTCCTCTTTGTTGTATTTCTAGGACAACATGGGAAATTTAATGGAGTTTTTTTATATTCTAAAAGGTTAATAGCTAGATTTTCTTTTGCTGGATACAGTTGTAATAGGGGTTTTCTTGTCTATGAGAATATTAAGAACAACAAATAGGGGGCTGGTGAGATGGCTCAGCTCTTTAAAGCACATACTGCCCTTGCAGAAGACTAAAGTCCAGTTTGTAGCATGCAAGTCAGACCACTTACAACAACCCATAACTAGTTGCAAGGGACAATGATGATTCTGGCCTCCACAGGCACCTGCACTCACATGCATATGCCCACACAAACACATACACATGTGCACATAATTAAAAATAAAATAAATTAATTAAATTAAAATAAATTTAAAAAAGAAAAGAAAGCTAAAAAAGAAAGATGATGGGGTTTTCACTAAATTCAGAATATTTCATGCTTTAAACATTTTTTAAAATTATATTTTATTTCTCATGTTTAGGAGGTCACACTTGTGCCACACCAAGCATTTGGAAGTAAGAGGAAAACTTGTAGGGGCTGGTTCTCTCCTCCCACCACGTGGGTTCTAAGGATCAAACTCAGGTGGCAAGCATTGCACCAAGTACCTTTACCCACTGACCTATTATCTGACCAGCCTATAACTTAGGTTTTAATCTTTCATCCAGCTTAGCTTTTTGCTATATTTTAAAAGCTCTATGGCATTTTGTCCTCATTAGCAAATGATTGCTGGGTTCTCTGTAAAGTTTCATATTAAGAAATAGATGTATTGTCTCTGTTTCAGAGGGTCGTCCGATATATTCTTAAACAAGATATCCCATCTTCTTTAGAAGATGCTCTAAAGGTGGCCCAAGGATATATGCTGTCTGATGATGAAATTTACAGTTTAAGAATTATTGACCTGATTGACAGAGAACAGGTATGAAAATTTTATATTATCTCATAAGGCTTCTTTCCTGGATAAATCTTTTTTTTTTTTTTTTTTTTTTTTTTGAGACAGGATCTCACTATGTACTGTGTAGCCCTGACTAGATTAGACCTCACAATATAGACCAGGCTGGCCTGGAACTCAGAGCTCCTCCTGCCTCTGGCTCTCAGGTGCTGGGATTAAAGTCATGTACGAACACACTTTTACAAACGGAAAACAATCAAATTATCCAACTAATTTTCACAAAATAAAGCTATACCAACAGGAAAACATTATATTAAAATATATACTTTTACATATATGTGCATTCTTTTAAAGTATCTTGTTATTACCTAATAAGCTTTTGTATTCTAGTTAATAAAACTCAGACTTGGGGTTTACATATATATATATATATTGTTAGGACCTTTGATTCTAAAATAAAATAAGGTGTGAGTTTTTGTGTCTTTTTCCTCCTGATTTTTAAGTGCTGGGCATTGAAACTATGGCCTCTTGCCTTACGCACACATTCTAGATCTGAGTTGTGGCTCTTTTTCTTTTGTGACTGTAAATGTCTTTACTCTTGTATTCTGTAGCCGTGGCTATGCCCAGGAAGTAAGCTAGTCTTCAGTACCTAGAGTTCCATTTTCAAATTAGCTCTGGACTGCTATCATCTAAAATAGAATTTTTCAGATTTTGTTTGTTTTTGAAATAGGGCCTTTGATGGCCCAACCTGGCCTGGAACTCCCTGCTGTACTTCTGCCTTAGCCTCCCAAATGCTGAGATTGCATGCATAGGCTGCTAGACCTAGTACAGTTTTTCAGACTTTTCAAAAATGGTAAGCCATCTGGGCTTGGTGGCAGACACCTTTAATCTCAGCACTCAGGAGGCAGAGGCAGCTGGATCTTTATGAATTCAAGGCCAGCAAATTCCAGGGCAGTGGTGGCTACAGGGAGACTCTTAAAAAAACAAACAAACAAACAAACAAAAAATGTTAAGCCATAATCTGTTTCTCAAAGAATCTTTTCATCTTTTTTCCTCCTATTCTGGGAATTGAAATCAGTCCTCATTCCAGACAACTTATATTAGGGATTTTGGTTAGTTTTTCTTTTCCTTTCATTTTCAACATAGAAAAGTAAGAGTAAGTATAAATTGTCCTCTGTGGGGACCAGCTGTCTTTTTCTTCCTAACATTGTCCATAGGGGGAAGAGTGTCTCCTGCTACTGAGATCTCTGCCTCCCACTGAAGCTGAGAAAACTGCAGAAAGAGTTGTCATTTGGGCTCGACTGGCACTGCAAGAAGAACCAGACAATTCTACAGAGGTGAGATTTTCACTAAGTGAGATGTAGTGTTACTGCACACCTGTCATTCCAACACGAAGGGTGTGAGAACAGGAGGATCTCGAGTTCCAGGCCAGCCTGGACTCTGTGACTGGTTCTTGTCTTACAGGAAAAAAGAACCCCACATAAATAAAAATACTAAACCCAGTTTTTGTGGATGGGAAAGGATAGGCTTAAATATGAGTGTCTTGCTGCCAGAGTTGACCTCATGCAGAAATTCCTGTGTAAATTGCAACACAGGGAAAAAAAATAGCAATTTTATAGCAGTTCATTTAGCTCACACTGAATATCTGCAGATTAGCAAGATTGATCAAAGTAGCTATTGAACATGAAGGGATTTTTCATAATGCTTTGCAGTGTAAACGGTGTTTTGTGTTGCGTTGGACGTAGTCATTACTATTGAACAGTAATGTCCTCTACAGAGCATTGTAAGTCTAAATAAAATGAAATCATTGAGATGAGAGATGGTTTCAATAGGATCAGTTCACTCCTTTAAAGATAAAGAATCAAATACCTCATTTACCAGGTGTCCTCTGACTGCCATTATGGCATATGCACGTGCACATACGTGCTCTGACCTCCACACGTGGCCCATCGCATGCACCCCCCTAAATAAATAAATAAATAAATAAATAAATAAATAAATAAATGTAAACAAAATTTAATTAAAAAGTAGCTTTCACTTTGCATCTTTCTTTTTAGGACAAGGCCTGGAGAATATCTGTGGCAAAGATATCAGTGGATATTCTTAAAATGCTGTGCGACATTCAAAAAGGTAGTTTCTGCCTCTATTCCTCAAATTAATTTTGTTCCAAAGCTTGCTATTTTCAGATGGGGATACCAGTGATAACCCTTATCTTCCCTACAGTTTTCCTGGCTCAGTTGTCCATTGTTTTTACCCATTTTTCCATAAATAAGTCTTTTTTTAAAAAAAAATAGTTATATAAAGCCAGAAACATGTAAAATCAACTTATCAGGCAGGGCAGAGCACTTGTGGCTCTTGTAGGGGACCCAAGTTCAGTTCCTAACACGAAAGTCAGGTGACTCACAGCAGCCTACAGCTCCAGTTCTGGGACATCTGACTCTCTTCTGGTATATATACTTTTTTGTCTCTCTCACACACAAACAATAAATAAAATTTAAGAAAAAGTTATGTCAGTAACTAAAAAACACTACAAGGAAACCAAAATTAATTGGTATTTTTAGCTTTTAAAAATTCTGATAATATGGTGTCATATTATGTGTTTTATTGTTATAACAAAATACCTGAGATTGGGTGATTTGTAGGAATAGAGGTATATTTAGTTCACAGTTTGGGAGACTAAGAAGTCCAAGAGCATGGTGCCAGCATCTGCCAGGGTCTCCTGAGGACCTTTTTGTATCATCACATGACAGGGTATCATGCAGTTACACTATGCTAGAGCCACCAGGCACTCTAGCAATAATCCATTGATCCACAACAAGACTAAACCATTCATGAGGGCTCTGCCCAGACATCTCCCAATACCATGGCATTCTTGGAGAAAATTCATATTGTAGCATATGGGAATTTGTACATCTGCTATAACTTTTAAACATCTAATTACAGACAATCTACAGAGGAAAGTTGAATGTGAAGAAATCTTGAAACTATTTCAAGTGGTTGCTAGTTTACAGGTAAAGATGTTACTTGCCTAATCAATACATCTGGCACAGATGTTCCCCAACATTTTCTGTACCAGCCTTTTCAGAGACATTGACACATTGATTCTTTGTCTCTCAGCAATTTTATTAAGATGAAATTCACATACCATGTAGCATTACTTCATAATTTTTGGTATATCATATTACTAGTTTCTTAAAATTTTAGTAAAATATATCTAACAAAATGATCCATTTTTACAGTTTTTCTGTCTACATTTCAGTGGTATTAATTACATGCATGATGTCGTACACCCATCACCTCCATTTTTGTCACTTAAAGCAGAAATTCTATACCCAAAGGCAATAGTAACTGTCTCCAGCATAGAATTGCCCCCACGCTCATGCTTAAGCCTCCCTTCTTTTTTTCTTTTCTTTCTTTCTTTCTTTTTTTTTTTTTTTTTTTTTTTTTTTTTTTTTTTTTGTTTGTTTGTTTGTTTCTTTTTAAGACAGGGTCTCTCTGTAGCCTCAGCTGACCTGGAATTCACTATATAAACCAGGCTGGCCTTGATCTCAGAGATTCGCCTGCGTCTGCCTCGCAAGTGCTGAGATTAAGGAGGTGCACCACCATGTCCGGCTTATGCCTCCCTTCTTTTGAAGGGCTCCCCAAAACACAGAATTATCTGGCCCTAAATGCCACAAGGACTGAAATTGAAAAAAACCTTATTTATAATGATGTTTTCTTATTTTTCAAACTTTTTATAGTTATTTCATTACTTTTTAAAAAAAAATATTTTATTTTTATTTTATGTGTATGAGTGTATTGCCTGCACGTATGTGCGTCCACCCATGTCGTGCAATGCCGCAGACTTCAGAAGATGGCTTTGGATTCCCCTGAAACTGGAGTTAAGGACAGTTCATAGCCACCATGCTGGGAATTGAACCCAGGTCCTCTGCAAGAGCAGTCAGTGCTTAACCACTGAGCAATCTCTCCAGCCCTCATTACTTTTTGAACCATAAAAAAATCTTAAAATTTTGATTTACAAGGAAGTAGGGTTTTGTTTTTTTTTTTGGTCTTTTTGAGACCGGGTCTCTCTGTAGCCCCAACTGTCCTGGAACTCACTATGTAGACCAGGCTGGCCTTGAACTCACAGAGATCCACCTGCCTCTGCCCCTCTGCCTCCTGAGGGCTGGGATTAAACGCATATGCCACCACGCCCAGCCAAGGAAGTAGTTTTTAAAGGAGAGTGAAACTTAATGCTGATTTTTTTTAACATTGAATAAACCTGAGACTTTGTCTTGTGTTGCTATAGGAAAATTTTGAGGTGTTTCTTCCGTTTGAAGATTACAGCAACAGCGCTCTGGTAACAGGTCTTCGAGAACAGTACCTTAAAGAACATGAAGCTGCACAGGCTCAGCATAAACCCAGGAGCACCTCAGGGCCCTCCCAGGCCAAGGGGACAGACCTGAGCACCAAGTTAAGGCTACACCAGCAAGCAGTGGCCCTGCAGCTGTCTATTCAAGAGCTGGAGGCTGAGCTGGCCTTGAGAGCTTTAAAAGATGGGAAGGTGGGAACAGCACTGAACAAATGCAGGTGATACGTGGATCCCCAACTTGTACAGCTTGTCTGAATAACGTTCATTTTGTTCATTTCTTCAGTGATGGGCATAGGGCAGCAGCACTTTCATTTTCACAAAAGTGATTCTTGGTTTCTTATCTTGAGAGCTTATTTTCAGGCCTCCTTGTCCAAAAATAGTGACACAAAGGAAAATAAATACTGCAGTTAGGTTACACAGCTATTGAATGTAGGCTGCTGTGTACTTTGATACTTAAGGGTAATTAAAATAATTTTTTAAATGAATCATACTTTATACTATGTAAATATATCAAGACCTTTTCTTTGTTTTTTTCTTTTGGTCTTTTGAGACAGGACTCCCTATAGCCCCAGCTGGCCTGGAACTCACTATGTAGACCAGGCTGCCCTTGAACTCACAGAGATCCTCCTGCCTCTGCCTCTGCCTCTCCCCCCCAAGTGCTGGGACTAAAGGCATGTGCCAGCACTTATATATACTACTGCAAAAGGGTAAATGCATTTGCTTTTGACTTGAGAATCCTAATTACCCACATTTTTCCTTTCCTCCAAAGATACTTGTTTAAATATCACTGCAATGCCGACACTGGGAGATTGCTGTTTTTGGTGTGTCAGAAGCTTTGTCAGATGTTGGCTAACAATGTCCCGATGACCACACCAGTGGGACTACATTTGCCTTCTGAGATACATGAGCTTGCATGCCAAGCTGCCACCATCTGCAGTCCAGGTGACAAGATTTATAAATCTTTCATTTTCTCTGATTCCTTGTATACATACCTCCCAAATGTTCTCTGTAACTAGGCATTCCGGTAGCTAGAGAAGAGATAGTGTCTCCTTCTTACAAAGGGACAACTATTTGGGGCTTATAGTTTTAAAACATTTAAGCCGGGTGTGATAGCACATACCTGTGATGCTTGCAGCAGGGAGGCTCAGAGACAGGAGGATCATAGGCTTAAGGGCTAACCTGGACTACTTAACTAGACCTTGTCAGTAAATAAATAAATCTAAAAAATATAAACACTCGTTTCTGATTATTGATGATGGTTACCTTTATGGGATTGTGAGGTTCCTAACCTCCCCACATCTGATTTCTCTTTCAAACCAAGCTTAAGAAAAAAGCTTGACCTGTGTTTATGGTAATCGAAAGCTATGTGGAAAGCCTTTTATCTACCTTTTGACCTTAGAATTTTAAGTGGTCATTATAAGAAGACTGTTTCCATTGTTCTAAATATATAAAGTAGGAGTTTGATGATTCTGTGTACTTCCTTTTAGATTTTTTACTAGATGCTTTGGAACTAAGTAAATACACTTTAGCTGCTGTGGAGCTTTCTAGACAATGCCAGATGGATGACTGTGGAATTCTAATGAAAGTAAGTCATTTTTGAGTTTTATTTCCATAATAAACTGCTGCCAACCCAATATGTGATACTTTAAATCAGTTACCCCATTTACAGAAATACTGAGTTTACCTTCTAGGTTTTCAGTCTCTTCTTGAAAGCATCCATGAAGCCAGTCCCATTTTCCAGGCACATTAATTTGCTTTGATTTCTGCTGCTTTTTGAAACATTGGGCCTCAAATGAAGTGTTTCTGGACATTGACCTTTTATTAAGAGTTTAATTAAGGTGATGTTTTTATAAGTTATCAGCTAGGAAAGAAAGAAAGAGCTAAAGAGTACTGTTGTCCCTCAGTATGCACAGAAGAAATTTGGTTCTTGAACCTTTTTTTTTTTTTGCATGATTTTTTTTTTTTTTAAATACTAAACAACTTTAAGAGATACAGCTAAAGGATCACTAACACTGTCGCATGGATGAGGCCTTTTTTTTCAGTGTGTGCTTTCTGGTGCCGTACAAGATACGACCTTCTGCTATAGGCTTTCCCACATTCACTGCAGACATAAGGCTTTTCTTCAGTGTGCACTTTCTGATGGAGAACAAGGCTGGAATTACGGCTGAAGAATTTCCCACATTCACTGCACTCATAAGGTCTTGCACCAGTGTGAACTTTCTTGTGCTGAATAAGGTGGGAGCTACTAACGTAGGCTTTCCCACATTCAGTGTACACATAAGGCCTTGCTCCGGAATGAACTCTGATGAAGAATGAGGCTAAAATCTCTTATCTAAAGCTGTGGAGCATTTCATGTGACCTACGTATATATCTTCTCTATACTTTTATCATCTCCAGTTTTGATGCTTAGTATAAGTGCTATGGAAATAGTTGCTATCTTGTATTGATTAAGGAATAATGACCAAAAATATCATGTATGTGTTCCACACAGACACATTTTTATTTTTCTGAAAAAGTTTGAAATTGGTTCGCCCTGTAGCTGTGGAATCCATGAATACAGAAGCCGGACTGACTGTGCATGGCTCTATGGAAACACCAAACCATTTGCCTCTCAGTTATATGGTTGTGCATTCTGCTTGGTAAAGATGGTGTGTGTCTGCAGTGTACTTACTTCTGTCCTATATGATTTGCCATGTAGACCTCTTTTGGAACTCATAAGGATCCATATGAACAGTGGTCTTACAGTGACTTCTTCAGTGAAGATGGAATTGTTCTTGAATCACAGGTGGTGCTACCAGTTATTTATGAGCTAATTTCATCACTGGTGCCCCGGGCAGGTAAAACTCACTTGTATCATTTTCTGAGTATTTTTGATTTATGCAAATTTAGGTTGTAGAGGTTAGCAACACAATAAGACAAATTTATAGACCTAAGAAACTAAGTGCAAAGGAATGCAGATTGTCTATGATTTCACTTTTGTGAGAATAAAAATGGGCTAAAACTAAGCCATGCTGTTTGCGGTCAGGGTAGTGGTTGTTACCCTTAGGGATGTTACTGACTGTAATGTTCTGTTTCTTTTTTTTTTTTTTTTTGACTTTTTGAGACAGGGTCTCCCTGTAGCCCTAGCTGGATTCGCTATGGAGACCAGGCTGGCCTCGAACTCACACAGATCTGCCTGCCACCCGAGTCCTGGGATTAAAGGCGTGCACTACCACGCCCGACATGTTCTGGTTCTTGATCTTAGTGCTGTCATGTTCAGTTTGTGTCTACTCAGTAGGCTGTACTTTTATCTGAACATTTTTCTGTATGTGTAGTTTAAGGTTTTTTGTTAGTTTGCTTGGTTGGCTTTTGTTTTGTGGTTTTGTTTTGAGACAGGGAGTCACTATATAGTCCTGGCTTGCCTTGAAATTCCAGTCTTCCCGCTTCCTGAATTCTGGGATTAGAGACCTGTTTCACAGTGCTCAGCTTTGAGTTTTGTTTTTGGTTTGTTTTGTTTTTTAAAGCAACAGTTTGCCTTATAACATTATTTGATAATCCCATAATTATCAAAGATAATATCTGAGTCTTTGTGTTTTGTGAGAATTATTTAGTGAGTTTTTTGTTTTGTTTGTATTTTGTTGTTGTTGTTACAGACTCTATCTCCTGGCTGGCCTGGAACTCATTATGTAGGCCAAGCTCGTCCTCAACTCACAGAGATCCAGCTATCTCTGCCTCTGCTTCTGCCTAGTGTTATTTAATTTATTTTTCTCTTTTGTAGAAAGCAAAAGACATCCTTTGGATTCTACAAGTTTGCCATACTGTTCCATTAATGAAGGTACTTAACATTAGAAATGTTTGGTATTATATTACAATTTTAGAAATATACAAATGCAAAAATGACTTAAAACAGGAATACTGAAACTCCTTAACATTCTGAATATGAATTTGACATAACACCCTTTATTTATTAGTTTCATTGTTATTACTCCAAAAGTCAGGAGATAGGTGACTTATCTGATAGTGTTAACATTAATGAATAAATGGCCTTCCTCTGCTAATAAGTTAAGCATCTCAACTTTCAAAGAACATAGACATATTATAATCAAAATTTCTCAGTATCTAGTGGACTTAGTTGTTCACTGGTTTTAACCCAGCCTTGGGTTAACTCATTTACTGGCTTTGGGGATAAAGTCCATGACTGTTACTTCCTTTGAAGAAGTAGGCTGTCCCTGAGAGCAGTTTCTCAGAATAATAATCTTTGTTGTTTTTTTTTTCCTTTAAAAAAAAGTCTAAGGCCGGGCATGGTGGCGCATGCCTTTAATCCCAGTACTTGGGAGGCAGAGACAGGTGGATCTCTGTGAGTTCAAGACTAGACTGGTCTACATAGTGAGCTCCAGGATAGCTGGGGCTACAGGGAGACCCTGTCTCAAAAAGACCAAAAACAAAAAACAACAACAACAAAAAAACCCAAAACAACAACAACAACAAAAGGCTAAACATCAAAAATCTTTTTCCCACTTTTCAGGAGACAACCTTGTTCTACCCATTATAAGTTCCATCTCTGCTCTGCTTCAGAACCTTCAGGAATCTAGCCAGTGGGAGCTAGCCCTCAGATTTGTAGTTGGTTCCTTTGGTACCTGTCTCCAGCACTCCATGTCAAACTGCATGGATGTCACTTTGAGTGAAAAGGTATGGTTTTGATAGCAAATGCTGTGATTTTGGGTGACAAAGATGCAAAAGCTCTGCTAAAGGTGGAATCTACATTTTCCTATTTGACCTTGTCACAAGGAAATTGATGATCATCTGTTAAAGATAAAATACATCTGTTAACTATCAACTAAGATTCTGGGACATTTGCACATAAATGTCCACAAAATAGAGAGTCTTCCTTTTGCAAATGTGGAAGTTCAAAATCAGGGATGTAAAATGAGTTAGCCAATTTTAGGTTGGGTTGGTAATAGTAATTCCTTACTTTCATCTCAATACAGTAATACTTTTTGTGGTGATAGAGAGAGAGAGAGAGAGAGAGAGAGAGAGAGAGAGAGAGAGAGAGGTTCTCTTGTCACCCAGGCTGGCCTTGAACCTCACTATGTAGCTGAGGATGACTTTGAAATCCTGATTCTCTTGCCTCTACCTTCTGAGTGCTGAGATTTCAGTGTAGCCACTGTACATGGTTGCTCTTTGTTTTTGTTATTGTTGTTGTCATCACCCAAATTATAATTGTTCCTTGATGACATCATTGCAAAGATTCTGTAAACAAACTACAAGTTGATAGCTGGCATGTTTTAGTGTATGCCTGCATGAATGTATGTGCACCTCAGGTATGCCTGGTGCCCACAGAGGCTAGAAGAGGATGTCAGAACCTCTGTTACTGGAGTTATAGACAGACACTTCAGAGCAAGGATACATCTCTTTCAAAAGTGACTGTAAATTTTTAGGTTCACAGTTGAACTAATACAGTTATACAATATTAAACTCAGTATAAACTGTGTAAAACATAAAATTGAATGACTTTTTACCCTTTAAAGAAGATCTCCATTTCATTTTAAAATATGCTGTTTCCTACTTCTTTTT